CTGACGTTTCTAGGCTGCGCTATCTATGTTTCCTGGTAAAATACATGGGAAAATCCTATAGAAGGAAAATTCAACTTAGGGTTAGGGTTAGGTCATCATGAACTCATAGAGCAATATGGACAATGCCAAAAAATTCGGAGTCCTTTTCAATGGTTAGGAGGGCATTGTTCTTTCTAGGCTGCCCTTTCTATGTTTCCTGGTAAAATACATGGGAAAATCCCATGGGAGGAAAATTCCACTTAGAGTTAGGGTTAGGTCATCATGAACTCATAGAGCAAAATGGACATCTCCATCAAATTTGGAGTGCTTCGGAATGGTTAGGAGGGTATAGATCTTTCTAGGCTTCCCTATGTATGTTTCCTGGTAAAACACATGGGAAAATCCCATTGGAGAAAAATTCCACTTAGGGTTAGGGTTAGGTCACCATGAACTTTTAGAGTAAAATGGACATCGCCAATGAATTCGGAGTGCTTGGTTATGGTTAGGAGGGCACTGACGTTTCTAGGCTGCCCTATCTATGTTTCCCGGTAAAATACATGGGAAAATCCTATAGAAGGAAAATTCAACTTAGGGTTAGGGTTAGGTCATCATGAACTCATAGAGCAATATGGACAATGCCAAAAAATTCGGAGTTCTTTTCAATGGTTACGAGGGCATTGTTCTTTTTAGGCTGCCCTTTCTATGTTTCCTTGTAAAATACATGGAAAAATCTCATTAGACTAAAATTCCACTTAGGGTTAGAGTTTCGTCACCATGAAATTGTAGAGCAAAATGAACATCGCCAATGAATTCAGAGTGCTTGGTTATGGTTAGGAGGGCAATGACTTTTCTAGGATGCCGTATCTATTTTTCCTGGAAAAATACATGGGAAAATCCCTTTGGAGGAAAATTCCAATTAGGGATAGGGTTATGTCACTATGAATTCATAGAGCAAAATGGATATTGCCAACAAATTTGGAGTGTTTTGGAATGGTTAGGTGGATATAGATCTTTGTAGTCTGCCCTTTCTATATTTCCTGGTAAAATACAAAGGAAAATCCCATTGGTGGAAAATTCCACTTAGGGTTAGGGTTAGGTCACCATGAACTTATAGAGCAAAATGGAGATCAAAAATGAATTCGGAGTGCTTGGTTATGGTTAGGAGGGAACTGACGTTTCTAGGATGCCCTATCTATGATGGTAAAATACATGGAAAAATCATATTGTAGGAAAATTCCACTTAGCATCGGGGTTAGGTCACCATGAACTGGTAGAGCAAAATGAACATCGCCAATGAGTTCGGAGTTCTTTGTTATGGTTAGAAGGACACTGACTTTTCTAGGCTCTCCTACCAATGTTTCCTGGTAAAATAAATGGGAAAATCCCATCGGAGGAAAATTCCACTTATGGTTACGGTTATGTCACCATGAACTCATAGAGCAAAATGGACAATGCCAACAAATTCGGAGTGCTTTTGAATTGTTAGGAGGGCATTTTACTTTCTAGGCTGCCCTTTCTATGTTTCCTGTTAAAATACATGGGAAAATCTCTTTAGACTAAAATTACACTTAGGGTTAGGATTTCGTCACCATGAAATTGTAGAGCAAAATGGACATCACCAATGAATTCGGAGTGCTTGGTTATGGTTAGGAGGGCACTGACGTTTCTAGGCTGCGCTATCTATGTTTCCTGGTAAAATACATGGGAAAATCCTATAGAAGGAAAATTCAACTTAGGGTTAGGGTTAGGTCATCATGAACTCATAGAGCAATATGGACAATGCCAAAAAATTCGGAGTCCTTTTCAATGGTTAGGAGGGCATTGTTCTTTCTAGGCTGCCCTTTCTATGTTTCCTGGTAAAATACATGGGAAAATCCCATGGGAGGAAAATTCCACTTAGAGTTAGGGTTAGGTCATCATGAACTCATAGAGCAAAATGGACATCTCCATCAAATTTGGAGTGCTTCGGAATGGTTAGGAGGGTATAGATCTTTCTAGGCTTCCCTATGTATGTTTCCTGGTAAAACACATGGGAAAATCCCATTGGAGAAAAATTCTACTTAGGGTTAGGATTAGGTCACCATGAACTTTTAGAGTAAAATGGACATCGCCAATGAATTCGAAGTGCTTGGTTATGGTTAGGAGGGCACTGACGTTTCTAGGCTGCCCTATCTATGTTTCCCGGTAAAATACATGGGAAAATCCTATAGAAGGAAAATTCAACTTAGGGTTAGGGTTAGGTCATCATGAACTCATAGAGCAATATGGACAATGCCAAAAAATTCGGAGTTCTTTTCAATGGTTACGAGGGCATTGTTCTTTTTAGGCTGCCCTTTCTATGTTTCCTTGTAAAATACATGGGAAAATCTCATTAGACTAAAATTCCACTTAGGGTTAGAGTTTCGTCACCATGAAATTGTAGAGCAAAATGAACATCGCCAATAAATTCAGAGTGCTTGATTATAGTTAGGAGGGCAATGATTTTCCTAGGATGCCGTATCTATTTTTCCTGGAAACATACATGGGAAAATCCCTTTGGAGGAAAATTCCAATTAGGGATAGGGTTATGTCACTATGAATTCATAGAGCAAAATGGATATTGCCGACAAATTTGGAGTGTTTTGGAATGGTTAGGTGGATATAGATCTTTGTGGTCTGCCCTTTCTATATTTCCTGGTAAAATACAAAGGAAAATCCCATTGGTGTAAAATTCCACTTAGGGTTAGAGTTAGGTCACGATGAATTTATAGAGCAAAATGGAGATCAAAAATGAATTCGGAGTGCTTGGTTATGGTTAGGAGGGAACTGACGTTTCTAGGATGCCCTATCTATGATGGTAAAATACATGGAAAAATCATATTGTAGGAAAATTCCACTTAGCATCGGGGTTAGGTCACCATGAACTGGTAGAGCAAAATGAACATCGCCAATGAGTTCGGAGTTCTTTGTTATGGTTAGAAGGACACTGACTTTTCTAGGCTCTCCTACCAATGTTCCCTGGTAAAATAAATGGGAAAATCCCATGGGAGGAAAATTCCACTTATGGTTACGGTTAGGTCACCATGAACTCATAGAGCAAAATGGACAATGCCAACAAATTCGGAGTGCTTTTGAATCGTTATGAGGGTATTTTACTTTCTAGGCTGCCCTTTCTATGTTTCCTGGTAAAATACTTTTACTGACTCTGGTAGTGGGATTAGGTCATCCACCAAAAGGAGGAATAGAATGAGGGTACAAGAAGATGATAATCAGTGGTGGGATTTTTCTTTGATCTAACATGGCCATATTTAAGTAATTGTTGGAGCTTAAAATCTTGTTTACCAAGATTTCTTAAGATAGAGCAATGCTTTGAAGATTTCTTTTTTATTTATCCTAGATATTTCTGTGGAATAGAAAGGTAAGGGGAATTGCTTTAAGTTCACATCATAGTGATTTGATCTGCGACAAATTGCTTATAAAGCTTGATAAACATTTCCAAATTTCCATTTTAGGAATGTAATCATTAGGAGCTTCACATTAAGGTTTCCAGAGTTTGAGAGATATAAACAGGATGTTTCAAGGGAAATTAAAAGGAAATTTTCTATTCTTTGTAATTGCTGTTGATCTCAGGAAGGAAAAAAAGGATCGTATTGACCCTAATGAAAGGGGGGTGCTGGGGAGTAATAGGACTTCATCTAAAGTGTATCAGGGAGGAAGATGTTAAACTTCCTTTTCCTATTCATTGACACTTGAACAAAAATCATACTGCACTAACATTTCTTTTGATAAAAAAACCTGTCTAATTATGATTTTAGCCTCATCACTGATTTGGTCATAAGTGTTCAATTTAGGTTGATGTCGGAATCTTATAGTCCTATTCAGGAAAGAGACAATTCCTTCTCACTCCCCTTCACATCCGCCTGCTGCACCCAGAGGTTAGGAGTAACGGATATAACCTCCCCCACACACACCTTTTTCTGAAATTCTCCCCCCCCAAATAACTGCCTTTCCAAGTAAAAATATACACAGATTGACGAGGCATTAATCATACCACACATTTATATCTGAGTGGGTTACAGAAACTGTATGCTGCCATTTCATCTTCATTTACAAGACTCAGCTACTGCTCTACAATTATTTAAAATACAGGACTATATTACTGATCAATACAAGGTGAAACCTTGATTAGTTACAAATCCAAGAAACAGTTTCTTGTTTGTTACCTATTCCCCTTGAGATTAACATGTCAAAAGAACAAAATGTAGAGTCATAGACCCGCTGCCGAAGCAGAGCTGTTATTGAGACCATCAAATCCCAATTTCGTATTCATTGAGAGAAGGGAGAAGATTCTTTGTTTCCCCATTTTTTTTCTTTAAATATTCCTACAGTATATATTATATGGAGGTCATATTCAATCCCATTTACTATAAACTGTTAAAATGAAAGTGATGAATATCTAGCCCAGTGTTTCTCAACCTTGACAATTTTAAGGCATGTGGACTTCAACTCCCAGAATTCCACAGCCAGCATTGCTGGAATTCTGGGAGTTGAAGTCCACATGCCTTAAAATTGTCAAGGTTGAGAAACACTGAATTTAATTTAGCCTATAGGCCCTAAGTAACCTCTGAGGTTTTGTCATTTGGATTATGGACTTTTCTGTCCCCCTTACTTGCCTTGCAATTAAATTTGAACAAGGATAAAGTATCCCAAATTTACATACCTGAACTTACAGTTAGAAGAACTCTAATTTCAAATGATGTAAATAGGGCTTTGCTTTCTTTTGATTTCATAATATATGCACAATAACTCTTATTCAATTCTGTATTATTAAAGATTACATGTTGTAAGCTTATCCATAAATCTATCTTGTGATAAAAGAAAAAGACATAAAATGACAGCTAGTGTTATAATATTACATATAAGAACCCTATCCAGACTTATCTGGGAATTCACTGGAATCAATATTACTAAGTAATTTTGCCAGCCTGCTCTCTTAGAAATGTAATAACGAGATATTTTTAGGGAAAAAAAGAACAATCATAGATATTGAATATTTTATTTCAATAAATAGTTCATCTATGTTAGTGCATAATTCTGAAACCATCAACTGTTATAAATAAATTTTCTCTCAAATCATTTATATTTCATTTATCACATAAGCATTTTTAATATACATTTCAAAGATTGTTATTTTCAACATCCTATTGTAAAGCTTTTTTGGAGATGCTAAAAATTCTAAACCTCAAAAATCTATTGTTATAAAATAACAATGCAACTTTATTTTCTAATGGAAAGGAGAACTTAGAATAATTTTTTCAAATGAGATATAGTATATAAATGCAGCACAGCAGTCAAATGAATCCTGAAGTGGTATGGAAATCAGTGACTAATATTCTCTATTTTTAAAAATTTTATTGTAATTTTTCTTATATGGGGAGAAAATGAAAAGATATGAAGAGTAAAATTTCATTATCCATGATTTCTTTTAGGCTACTACACTGAGTCAATAAGAATTAAAATTAAAATATTAGAAGCATTGCCTCTATCCATAAGCCTTGCATGAATCTTTGAAGGATTAAATAACAATAGCATAAGTTTCAGCTCTAAATGTTTATACTAACCCACAAGGCCAATACATGTGTGAGTTTGTGAGTTTATTAAATTTTGTTGTATAAAATTTAGTATTTTATACAATAGTAGAAGCAAACATAAAAGTAAACAAAATAAAGAGTAAAAAAGGAATCAGAGCAAGTGACTAAATAAAAAAAGATAGAAGAATGAAAAGGAAGAAAAAGAATATGTATAAAGGATTGGCTTCCAATTTTCTTAATAGCAATTACAAAATATTTACCTTCTTCCTCTTCAAGGTTATAGCATAATTCCTTTCTTCCCATATCTTCCCTTTCTAATCATCAACTCCATCAATCACCAGTTCACATTTTTCCAGTTTTCAGCAAAATGTCCATAAAGCGTTTCCAGACAATCATAATTGTACTTGTCTTCTCCCTAATCAAACAAGTAAGTTTTGCCATTTCTGTAAATTCATCATATTCACTAACCATCATGGACATTTCAGAAACTTTCCATCTTTGTACATATAGTAATCTTGCTGCAGTTACCATGCACGAAAATGATCTTCCACAAGTTTTTTTTCCAGTTGACTATCCATAAGTCCCAACAGCCAATACAAGAATTTGTGAGGAAGCAGATGTATATCTCACCAATTTAACTCTTTCTATCTTTTAAGTAACGTTTCTGATGCATTACATTGTAGCAGCAGGTACCAAACAGGGAATCACTTAATAAGAATGACATTGCATGATAATTATTTCAAAAGGCTTTGCATTACATTAAGAGAAGGTCCCTGAAATTCTGTACCAAAATGGTTCCAGTGGTTTATATAGTTAAATAACTTATAAAGGGCATTGCGTTTCTCAAAACCTGGAGCCTTAGGGATTTTGCTGTGATATGCAGAGAAGAAAGAGCTATTAAATCCCCCAAACATCATAGCAATTGCAAGTTCAAATTCTGAATGACCATAGAAACAAGATGGGTCAAAGACAATTGGTCCATAGTCATCTTCAGCTACATTTCCTGACCACAGGTCACCATGAACAAGTGCAGGAATTATTTCCAAGCCATGAAACATTTCTGGAACCTTTGGCTGTAAAAAAAACAAAAAAAAAACCCAGACAGGTTAAAGATCGGGCAAAGAAAAAAATTTACTGTGGAAACCAGAAGGCAAATATCAGAATATACATAAGGATTATAAAAGTACTTTTTATTTTTTAATCCTAGTTTTAGAAACTGAATATGTTACAAATTGTGTCACTTTTGCTGGCAACATTGGGCTTCTCATTATGACTTAAACTAAGGTGAAATAGGGACAATGTTTATAATTGCTTTTGAGTATCTTTTCCTGATTTCAGAATGATTTTAGATCACAGGCTATTGAGAGACAGAGATAGAGAAAAAGGCAGAGAGAGAATGTGCAAGAGATTAAATCAGATTTTTTTTTAAAAAAAATGCAAATAATGTCAAAGTTAGTACAGTTATAGGAAATGCAGCTCCACATTATGAATGGAATAGGATCATTAGATAAAGAAGACAGGGGTTGAAGAACTAAAAGGAAACTGATACTAGATTCAAACATAAAATTTCACTATTGTTACATTAAACCAGGGGTGTCAAACTGCCAGCCCACGGCCTGGACACGTCATGTGGAAGCCACTCCACCCCATTGCTGGCAATGGCAAAACTGTGCTGATACATTGCGTGACATCACGTGACGTCGCAAGTTCGACATGTCTGCATTACACCATCACTAACCGACTGATTTTATATAATACTTCATTCCATCATGTTTTACATTTTCCAAAGACTGAATTTCACCCATATGGAAGATCACAAACAAGCCACATAATGGCTTAGGGCAGTGTGGTCTCAAACATCACAAAAGTTTAGGATAGACCAAGTTTGGGCTCTCCTTTCAGTAAAGAAGTTCCAGTTCTGATTTATATACACTCATTTCTTACATTTCATTTTTATAATGGGGCTGAAAGGAAATAAAAACTATATCCAAGTCCTCCAAAAAGGATTGTAGAGCAATCAAATCGTAGCTAGAAAAAAAAAACATGTTAGAGCAGCGGATAAATAAAACTATAAATTGATCTTTTTCTTGGGAAGAAAACCTTATAGCTGTAATAAATGCTGGTAGATTGATTACAAAGCCACAAATGCTCACTTGGATTTTAGCCTCTGAAGAGGCAAGTACTCTTAATGTTTTCTGTTGCTTTAATGTAATAATATTCTAACATTTTCTTCCTACCTTTAACTGTTCCCACAACTCTCTTGCTTTTCTGTCTCCATAATCCCTTTCTATTAAATCCATTTGGGCTTGGAGGCGGTGTCGAATAAAAAAAGTAGGCCAGTCGTTTTGCCACTCATTGATCTGCAAAATAAAACTAGTGAAAAAATGATGCTATGAATTTATCAACTACAGCATAAGATCACTTTCTTTGAACATATGATTTTTGTGGCAATTGCAAAATTCCAGCCACAATGTTCCTTAGCAAAACATGAATACAAAAACTCTATACTCTGTTTACAAAAAAAAAAAAAAAATTGTATGGTCAGTTAAGATGCTAGAAATAATGTTGGGCTTTAGATGCCAGTCACATAACAAAATGATTGTAACTAAGAAAAGACTTACTCCCTTATACCTGCCAGGTATAAAAATACCTAAACAATTTAACTTAAGTTCAGTAGTCTAGAAAGAGATGATAGCTTTACAATGAACACTCTACATCTTACATCATATATTTTGTTCAAAGAACTTACCTGAGTTATATTGCCATAGCAGGTGACCTCATGAAATCCAAATTTATCCACATAATTAGGTTCCATCTGGCCTACTCCTAACAAAATAAACTCACAAAAGTAAGACGGCAAACAGGAAAATAGAAACACTTATTTTCTCTACTTACTGAGCACCTCATAAATGAATCCTCCTGAGTTCCATATCAAGGAATAGTTTCATACTGCAGCCTTAGATAGAATACAGATATCCTCACTTCCAACCACTTGTTTAGTGACTGGTTCAAAGTTACAACAGCACTAAAAATGGAGACTTATGACCACGCCTTTAAGTTGCAGCTTTCATGTCCCTGCATTCATGAGATCAGCCACTTTGGGCACTTGGAAAATGGCACACATTTACAAAAGTTGCAACATCCTGTGGTAATGCGATCGCCATTTGTGACTTCACAGCCTGCTTCTAACAAGTACGTTAATGGGGAAGCTGACAGGAAGTTGCAAATCGAGGTCATGTGACATTGTGCTTAACCCACAGGGATTCGCTTAATGACCATGCAGGAACTGATGAACTGATGTCAAAAGGCAGCTGCAGTTATGTGAGGTGTCATTTATGACCGCATCACTTAGCAACAGGGTTGCCAGGCTCAACTGTAGATGGTAAGTGAGAACTGAAGGGTCCTTGATGTCCTCTGAGTTTGGTTCTTTTTTTTGCAGATATTTCATTATCCAAACTAGGTAATATCATCAGTTCTAGAACTAGCAACTAGCACTGTTGATAATATGTAGTTTGGGTAATGAAACATCTGCAAGAAAACAATCCAGCTCAGAGAGCACCATGGACCCCTCATTTCAATTCTGAGCTACAAATATTCTCCTTTACTGATAAGTGAGAACTATCCATACAGTGCAAGAACTGAAATTCTCGGAGCTAAATACTATAAAATACATTGGATGTATGCCTGATTGGGCATCCAGATTTTCTTTGCATATATACTTTTTCAGAATCAATAATAATGTCCATTTTCTGATAGAACAGAAGCAAATAGCAATATTATAAAGAATAATTGTTTATACAAAAAAGGAAAGGGAGGCATATTAATTGCTTATATATTTCAATATCTTTAGTATCATGAATTCTAATAATTACATCGGCTTCCATCTAAAGTTGTGTTCAAAACCTGTTAATTATAAGTAACCTAGTTCATAACAACTATACTGTACCAATTGTTTGTTCTTTTTTTCTTAGTTTTTCCCCATTTTCTTTATTGCAAAGGTGAAGATCTGCCATTTGTTCTCCAAGTTTTGCTGAGTATCTAGAAGGAGAAGAAAACAAACCCCAATGTTGTGGACCATGTGGTTTCAAATCAGCCTGAAAAGAGATTTTATACATATGCATGCACACACATATATAATTTAGAAAATAATTACTGTATCTGCACAACATGTTAAACTATGGTTACCCTATCAATAGTTTATTAAATTAATCCAATTGCCCAATTTCACATAATTCAGTGAGGGACAACTTGCCAGTAACATTTTTCCGAAACATGGGTGTGAACCCAGCCAACAGGTTGCAAAAATTCTTTGAGAAATTATAAGGTTTAACAATTCCAATACAAGGAAGATCTTTGACTCTATATTTTTCTTTTTTGTTAAGAGCCATGTTTTGTCAGATGATAATCTCTCTAAGAAATTGACTCACCATGATGAATCCTAAATCTGGATATATTCTTTTTATTTCTGACATCCCATCGTTTATCTCCCTTGGGGACAAATCCCTTTTTTTAACCACTTCACAAAAAGTAATTGAAAGGCCACTAAGAGGGCAAGTTGCCCACATCTCCCTTATGAGAAATTTCTGTAGGTATTACATTCATCATGCTGGTTTCAAGGTAACTTATCAAAATTTAAGATGAGCAATACCAGAAGAAAGCTCTTATATTGCTATGGCTGGCCTCTCCAAATGATTGTGTGTCCACACTAAAACAAAACATCACACTATGATATGGACATATAAGAGTTAAAAGATGAAATGAACCTTAGAATGTTTGAATGCCTCCAATTGGCCAATTCAGCCAAGACCAGGTAAATGCTCCAATCTCAACAGATACTGTATGTATGATTGTCATTGTACAGGGTTCATAGGTTGGCAAAGGGAAGAATTCCTTGCTGGTATAATGTCACTGAAATTCTATGGAATGTTATAGATCTGAGTTTGTTAACGCCCCAAAATATGATTTTACACATTATGTTCTGACCCATCAGTGCTGGAACTTGAAGCAAGGTCACATGGAAAGTTTTGGATAGATGTGGCAGGAGATCAGTCAGAATAATAGAATTGGAAAGGACCTTGGAGGTCTTCTAGGGCCTAGGCTAACCCCCTTTTCAAGCAGGAAATTCTACGATTTCAGACAAATCGTGGTCCAATCTCTTCTTAAAAACCTCCAGTGTTGGACCACCTACAACTTCTGGAGGCAAGTCATTCCACTGATTTTTCTAATTGTCAGAAAAATTCTCCTTAGTTCTAGGTTGGTTCTCTCCTTGATTAGTTTCTATCTATTGCTTCCTTTCCTACCTTCAGGTGCTTTGGAGAATAGGTTGATCCCCTCTTCTATGTGGCAGCCCCTTAGATACTGGAACACTGCCATCATGTCACCCCTGATCTTTTTCACTAGACTAGCCATACCTAATTCCTACAACCATTCTTCATACACCTCCAGTCCCCTAATCATCAGCAATCAGTACAAGTTTAGTATTATTACAATGTTCTGTCCTTAGAGATTAGTCTCTTGATCAGAGATTTCCACACACACCCTCCTCCAAGAAAATGTGAAAATCCTCATCCCTGAATTTATTTTGCTTCCAGTGAGACACTGTTTCATGGTAGTAACATATAGGATCTTTTCAGAACTGCCATTGTAAAAGAAAAAAGAGGGATGTTAATTCGGAGAACCAACATCCTAAAATGAAGCCTTTAACATACTTGTTGAGGCTTCTCATTTTTATGTACTCCATAGCAAATGCGGCTCCACTTCCAGGAAGATCCATCACTTTAATTGGCTGGGGAACTCGTATAGTGTTGGTTTTCTGAATTTCTCTCAAACTTGCCATTTCACCTTCAAACATAATCCTAGCCTGATCAGAAAGAAGAATATAATTTAATGAAAATTGTTAGGGTTTTGCAGGACAGAAAAAAGAGTTGTTGTTCTGATTTGTAAATAAATATACACCAAATATCCAGGAGTAGGTGAAGGAAGCATTGCTCAGTAAACATGTCAGAAATAGGTGCCCATAGAACTGTTTTTTGGTACAAACCAGATGCGCTGTTCATTCTAGTTGTTTTAGATTCATCCAGTTCACAAACATGAACAAAATAAATATTCAGCGCATAGTGCTAAAGAAAGTTCCAGTCTCCAGAGCATCTTTATTTCAAAAAATGTCTTTGGCCCAAATAGGAATTCTTAGAAAATAAAATGGTGGATAGCTGTAGCCCAGATTTTTTTTAAAAAAAAATTGGAAGTGTCCCACAAAAGGAAGTCACGGCACTAAATTACATTTTTAGAAAACCCTAAACAACCTGGGACCTGTTGGGTTTTTTCCACATATAATGTAGGCTTGTGATGTTTCCTCTGCCTTCAAAACCCTCTTCTTTCTCAACTGACCCTTGAAAGTACTTGCCAATTTGCTGGAAGAAAAGGGAACAAAGAGAGCTACAGACCAAGAGGAAAACAGCACCCTGCCCTAGTGAGGAAAATGGGTTCTGGCTTGTCCCCAAAGGTCCCTTCCCTCCAATGAGGAAGAATTTATTTATTTGTTTGTTTGTAAAATTTATATGCCGCCCAATCCCTAGGGACTCAGGGCGGCGTACAAAATTAAAACAACAAATATAACAATTAAAAAATGAATACATTCACACAGCATGTCCCAATCGAATCCTGGCCCCCTGGGGACATCAACCCCAGGCCTGCCGGAACAGGAGAGTTTTAATAGCTTTCTTGAAGGCCGGCAAGATGGAAGTAGTTCGAATCTTGGGGGGAAGTTGATTACACCATGTCGGAGCCACCACAGAAAAGGCTCTTCCCCGAGGGCCCGCCAGCCAACATTGTCTGGCCGATGGGACCTGAAGGAGGCCCAATCTGTGGGACCTCACTGGTCTCTGGGAACTATGCGGCAGTATGCGGTCCTGTAAGTAACTTGGTCCTAAGCCATGAAGGGCTTTAAAGGTGACAACCAACACCTTGAATTGCGTCCGGAGACCCACAGGAAGCCAGTGCAGCTCGCGGAGGATAGGTGACACGTGGGTGTACCTTGGTGCACCCACAATTGCTCTCGCGGCTGCATTCTGAACCAACTGCAGCCTCCGAACGCTCTTCAAGGGTAGCCCCATGTAGAGCGCATTACAGTAGTCCAGTCTTGAGGTGACAAGGGCATGAGTAACCGTGAGTAGGCCAGTCCAAGTAAGGCCGCAACTGGTGCACCAGGCGAACCTGGGCAAAGGTCCCCCTGGCCACAGCCAAATGTTCAGCTATTAATCACGAATGCCCATACCTCCCAAGTAGCCCTATTCTTGCGGGCATCCAAGTCATTCCCTTGTTCTTCCCTCACCAGCCATTAACAGATTTCAAATTTCAGCTTCAAATCCAAAGCAATCAATGGCACTCACCATCAGGCCTTGCTACCAGCCAATTAGGCACAGAGGCCAGAGGAAGATGGAAAAGAGGGTGGGAGAGAGGGCCATCTTCCCTTGCACCATGCAGCCCATTGGTTTCTGGGAAATGCAGTTGGAAGGTGTGGTGGTGCTAAAGTGGCCACAAGTTTGCCAAATTTCAGTCTCATGGGAGTGGTAGATCCCAGATTTTGGATGAATTATATAAGTTAGCCCATCTGAAGTACTTTGATTCAAAGAATGTTGCGCTGTTTAGCCCAACTGAAAGTTACAAACTATCAAACAGACACAAGATGGTAGTATATAGATGGGATGAGGGGCAATGCTGAATCTTCTCTGGCAGCATTAATGCCTAATAAGCACATTTTTCATCTCTTCAATAAGCTAATAAAAGAATTATAAACTCATCTTAATAAAATAGTAGATATTTGCTAGCAGATAAATAAATTTGGATGTACTGGTTATCAACTAGAATGTCCTTTGCAATGGATATGAGCACATACAAAGGTAAGTATATACTGTATTATATACTTATATTTAACCCACTAGGACTCTCAGTGACTTAACAGCACCATTAAAATGTGCAAAATCAGGATTAATTTATTTTAAAAATCCAGATGCTAACAATACCATTCTGAAAAATATAAAATGTATTTTTATATTTGCTTCATATAAAAACGATTTTTTTCAGAGAAAATAATTTAGCATTTGACTTTTCGATTTTATTGTAATTTCTTTGATTGTGGTGAGTAGCTCACAGCATACGAGTTTATTTATATATTTAGGTAAATTCCCAGTACTGAAAGTGCTTTGAAAGAACGACAAGCTAACTGATAGGTTTCCATCACGATAAAATAAAATAAAAAAATGTACAGGTGCCCAAATTTAATTGCATTAATTAATTGGCCAGCGAAACTCAGTGGGAGATTCCATGAGGATTTAGAGCAGAGGAACTAATTAGATAATTACTACGAATTTCCGGGATTACTTCAGCTGATTTCACGAGCCAGATATTCGTAGCCACCACTCCCCCAGCTCCCTCCCCAAACATATGCTGATCAAGCTGCGCAGAAAATCGAACCGCCCCTTAACGGAATTTGCTTCACCCATCCTGCGCACCCTTATTGCAAGAGATAAAAACAAAAGGGAGCAAAACAAACAGCTGTGTCACGAGCTGCCGCTGCCAGCGGATTGCCCTCCTAGTCCCCAAGCCTTCCCAGCAGCAGCATTGTATTAGCTAACAGAGCTGTCACTACAGTATCGTTAACCTGGGGCTTGTTGTGGCTTTTAACAAACACTCGTCCTCCGTCGGTTTCGTAGGCTTGTCCCTGGCATATGCACCCTCCTCTTGAGCCACCCAAGAGCTTCAAAACGGTGGTTTTCAGTTCAGATTTCAGCAGGTTTTCCATGGTTGTTAAATGCTGCCTGTCGCTTTAGGATTTTCGCCTTCGGTCGCCAGCGCGCGTTGGTATTACGGCTCTTTCTCTCCTCTCTTTGCGGCCAAACGTAAACTGAAACGCACGAAATCAAACACCGTAACTTTGCGGGGCGGGGGCGCGGCAGACCGGGGGGGGGAGGGCAGGGGAACTCGGTTAGTGGGCGTTACAGGACTGACGATCGCTATGCGAGATAACGCGGTTTTCGTCCAAAGAAAAACAGAATTGCTGTAGGCTTAAAAAGCAAGTGAAAAACAAACATTCTTGCAATAAAATGGATTCTTGCCCCACTATCGAGTGGACGGGGGTAGGGGGGGGTCGGTCTAAAAGTCCCCCGAGAGAGCTTGATCATTCTGGTTTGCCAATGTAACGTTGTTGATGGAGCTTTTTATTTGAAACTAGATCACGCGATAATAAAGTAGCTAGCTGCCAGGGGGAAGCACTCTTCAATTTAAAGTACAGCGGAAGTTTTATCATAGAGGGTTGCAGATAGACTACAGTGTGAAAGATGCTGGTTTTAGAGGTTGTCTCTCTGAAATTTCCTGCATCTATAATTCATATATGCTGAATTTGGTTTTATTGACTATCAAGTTAAAATATATTCCTTTTCAATATTAGAGGCATTGTGTTGTAGATTATAGAATAATTCTACAAGCAGAGGCTCCCAAACTGGGCCTAGGTAGCTGGTGCTAGAGGTACCTTGGAAGTACCGAAAGATTGCCCATTTATAATATACTGATGGTCAAGAATAGAGACCTGGCATGTACTACTAAGACCTGGCTGGGGAGCAAAAGGCATAAAAAGTCATCAGATATCTGCTGTCCTGAGTTTCTGTTCTTGCAAAATTGAGGAGTTCGGTACCTGTGTTAATTTGTGAGACTGTGGTCATAGCAAGGGATGCTGCTTTGAAGATAACTGGTTGCATGTCTTGTGTGGAATTACGGACAAGTTGGGGCAGCTGCTGGTTTAATGTTCACCAACCTGCCCAGCAGAAGCCCTTTACAAACTCTTGAATGACATTTGGAAGCTGCTGTTGGACTTTTTGGAGTTTGGGGTGATTGCAATCTCCATGTCTTGGTGGAAGGATTCAGTGTAGCTTGTAAGTTCATACTTTCATGGTTTGTTGTTGTTAGTTGCGAAGTCGTGTCTGACACATCGCGACCCCATGGACAATGTTCCTCCAGGTCTTCCTGTCCTCTACCATCTTCATGGTTACCAGAGCCTTTTGCAAGTTAGGTATGTTTCACTCTGTATATCACGCAGAAATGTAAGAGTGGGGTACTTAACAAATATAGTAACACATATAAATACTTTGGATTTAATATGGCACTGAGGAGAACCAATGTGATTAAGTGATTAAAGGCAGTGGGATAGAAACTAGATACTATGAATTCTAGTTCTGTTTAGGCACAAAGCTAACAGTGACTTTGGAAAGTCACTTTTTCTTATTCTAGGAAGAATGAACTGCTACTCCAATAAAATAACTTTGAGAGGAATCTTGGCATCCTAATGGACAATAATTAAGTATCAGCCAGCAGTGTGCTGCAGCTGCCAAAAAAGCCAATGCAGTCCTAGGCTGCATTAACAGAAGGATAGAATTAAGATCACACAAAGTATTAGTACCAATTTATAATGGCTTGGTAAGACCACACTTGGAATATTGCATCCAGTTTTGGTCACCCTGATATAAAAAAGATGTTGAAATTCTAGAAAGAGAAGAGCAACAAAGATGATTAGGGGGCTGGAGGCTAAAAGATATGAAGAATATTTGTAGGAATTGGTATGTCTAGTCTAGTGAAAAGAAGGACTAGGGATGACATGATAGCGGTGTTCCAATATTTGAGGGGCTGCAACAGAGAAGAGAGGGCCAACCTATCCTCCAAAGCACCTGAAAGTAGAACAAGAAGCAATGGATGAAAAGGAAAGGGGAAAGGAAAAGGAAAATTGCTATTTTAGTCTCCAAGCCAAGATGCAATGTTCTGATTGGGAGGGAACAGGAAAGCAACAGCAGTATTCTTATTACATCCTTTCCATCTTCATTTTCCAAACTCAGCACTAGTTTGGAATAGAAAACTGAAGCCTCAGAATTGCCCATCTGGAAGATGACATCAATGGATCTATTGTCTTTGTGTTGGAGCTGACTTGCCTCCATTTGAAAAGCCATTTGATTGCACAGGGTGAGGGGGCAATGTAATCTATTTCCTTTGCAACCTTTTCCATTCAGAATGAGTCTGCCTTTAAGTGCCTACAGTAGCTGCTTTTTAGTCTCTGTTGCTGTCACTAGAATGTGCCAGAATAATAGAAGTGATGGAATGTAAAAAAAAAAATGGGTAAATGTTATGAAAGAAATATGTCTACAGTATAGTTGGAGAATATCTAAAATCATTTGCACACTAAAAGCTCACTGAAACAGAAATTCTGAATAAAAAAGAATTTCCAAAGGGAAAAGGGAGATATTTTTGATACTGACTGATCCAACAAACAAGTTAGCATTTGCTTGTATATCATGCTAAATCATAGCTTGTGTGCTGTCCCAAGTACCTTGTGTTAATTTGCAAGTGTCACTCTGGCCTTTTTAATCTATGCCTAGCATATTTCCCCATTCATTTAATGGCTGTAAACATTCACATTAGAGTCACCTAAATCCTAATTTTTTGATGCTTAGTAAAATCTGAGGTTGATCCAAAGCGGTCCCTGAGAAGATCAATACTCTCTGTGGAATTGTCCAAGAGAGAAAGTATCCATAAGTAAATGTGACTACCTATTAAAATCAATTTATGTATTCAAAACTAATAATAAGTTTAAAGGTTAAAGGTTTAACAAAATGTCCTAGTATGTCAGGTATCTCAGGAGTTGAAAATGTTGCTAGTCTACACAATGTTATTAATAAATGTTGTAATCATAAATGTTGCCTTGAATTGCATTTAATAGATAATTTTTGTCTCTTAACACAAGAGTATGTTAAAAAGTCATCTTCATCATGTATTAGTTGGTCAAAAATTAGTATTCCTGCTTACATTCAATTTTTCTGTATCACTATCTTGTCATCAATTTTTAAAGCTGGATTTGCCCATAAAGTCAATTTGGCATGGGAAAAAAGGTTGAATTTTTTAAAAATTAGATATTACATTCAATAACATTCTAACTGACGTAACTTTTTCAAAGATGCTAAAGAGTTTTAATATATTTAAATCCTGATACTGTCCATCCAACCAAACAAGCTATATGTGTATATTCCAAAGTTGCCCTAATCAGAAAATAAACATTATTAGCTTCCAGTATTTAATACTTGACAATAAGTAAGCATGATGCTCCCATTTACTGATGTTTGAAGAAACCCTCAAATATTTTATATATATTAGTTGTTACAGAATCTTATCTTTGGTATATACAGTACGTATTTAGAAATTTAATGCATTTAATACAAATATGGAATTGATATTCCTTATATGGATGGGTAACCCAATTTTTATCTATTGACATCAATTCCAATTTGGAAAAGTTGATAGAGAATCCTGCTGTTTTGCTGAAGGCATCCATTCTGTGCATCAACACTGGAATATTAGTATGAGGTTTAGAAATAAACAAAAGAATATTGTCTGCAAATAAAACCAATTTGTGTTCAACTGAGTTATGTGCTATCTGTAGATCTCCCTATGTTGTCTAATAGTATATAGATATTTGTTATCAAGTTCCATATGCAGAAGTTAAGAAATGAGTGGAATTAAGAATTAGAGCTTTGTATATTGCCTAGAGAATGGGGGAATGTCCGAACTTCTATAGCAAGAATGTCAATGGATCTCAAATTATGATATATAACAAAAAAAATAAACTTAGAATTTATTGGATTCCATTATGTCAAAAGAAGGCACTGTCAAAAGCAGCGCCTTGTTGGAGATATAATAAGAACAATGCTTCTTTAAAATATGTTTCCACAAAGTCCTACACTTACCAGGAGTATTGAATTATATAAATTCGATTGTGTGACAAAACTAATATTTTCAGAGGATAATATTCTTTTGAATTTTGAAGTACATAGAATTTGACAAACAATGTAAATGAATTCTCTGGGCCTTTACTTTGACTAAAAGACTGATATTGCAACACTGAAAAGATAAACATAGGCTCTGTTTATTCAATGAGTTGAGAACTTGATTGTATTTGACACGAGTTGATTGCCTGTAGATGTAGACTTTGTATAGATAAATATAATGAAATATGGGACTCATTTATACATAATACAGTAGGCTAAAAATGACAGTCATATAAATGTATCAGAAATGTAGAAATAGTTGCACCAGATAAGCATATATAGAAGGATAATGGTTTATTATTGTAATGATATGTTATGCTTTTTTTTCTTTTTGTCACCTTTTTATTAAAGCACTTTTTATGTATTTTCATTACTACTTTCATTATTATCTTTGTGCTTGGCTCTTTACTATTTTGTTATTAATTAAAAAGCAATATTTTTTTAAAAAAAGTTTATGTATTCATTTAAGTAGTTAATATGATTGCCATCTCATGGATACATTTGCGTGAGATCGAAGCAGATTTTTAAATCATGCTTTGTTGAACACCACATAGAGATTTTATGTATGGTGACCAGATATATCATTCTTTTTACTGTTTTATGAATAGGTAGTCCGGTCTTACCATTCTAACTGAGCCTGGAAATTTTAGTGATAAGTCATGCAAAACATTAAATGGGTCACCATGTGACCAAGCCGATTTTATAACATTTTGGTGATGGTCATTAAGCGAATGTTGTGGTTAAGCAAATGCCATGGTCATTAAGTGAACCCATTTTTTTGCAATGCACATTATTTGCCAGACTCTAGACATAAACACTGGTTTCCAACAAAAAAATGTAAAATGTGATAACGTAATCTTTTGTTAGGATCTGTCACAACTTCAAATTGTTGCTAAATGACCAGCCGTAAATCGAGGAGTATTTGTAAATAGTTAATTTTTGGTTGCATTGCATTGTGGACTACTCTGAGTCAGGCAGACCTGAAGTTACTGTTTTTATACTGTTATTATACAAGATGATATTGAAAGTTCCATAGTAGCTTCCCATTCAAAGACCAATGAAAGGAAATACAATAGCTCCAGTCTATGAAGATTCTCAGTCATCCAGGTCATGGTTGTCCTAAAGGTGCTTTTTCAAGAGGCAAATGGACTTCCTTGCTTCTTCGGAACTGAAGAATGGATGACAAGTGAAGTGTCTTCAAAGAAAAACAAGAAAGTCCAGTTGCCTCTTGAAAAAGCACCTTTGGGACATTATTTTCAGCCAAGGCTTAAAGAACAAACTACCACATACAGTATAAACAGCCAGCATTCCCCATGCCCTGATAATATTATCTAACCTGGTAATGAAAGAACTGCAAGGGAAAAAAAAAGCAAGCACTAAAAACCCAGGAAGAAAATAAAATTATTTCAATTTGAAATAGCAAAAATATAAAGTTAGTATCAGAATGTATTAATCAGGTTTATGAATAGAAGGGATACAATGAAGAATGAATGGGCGCTAAATGAATGCAGATTTAAAACCAAAGTCACCAGCATGAAAGAAATGTACTAAGCTGGTTTGGTGGCATAAAAGAGAATGGACAAGTACCTTAATCTGATATATAATTTATAGTACAGATTTCATGCATTATACACTCTCTCTTATTTTAATGATTTCAATTGTGTTACCCAAACATTTTTAATTTAAAGCTCAAGAGGGATGCATGGGTTTTGATTAGAAAATGGATATGAAACATCTTATAATACTATAAGCTTCTAATGAGGTATTAAAATCTATTAGTTTTCCCTATTGGGGAGAATTGCAGCGATTAAAATGAATGTTTTGCCAAAGTTTCTCTTTTTATTTCAAATGATACCTATTCTAAAGAATGAGGTTAATTTAAATGAATGGCAGAAAGGTATCAACAAATTTATTTGGGCAGGGAAAAAACCAAGAGTAAAACTTAAAATTATACAAGATATTCGTGAGAGAGGTGGACTCAAGGTACCGAATCTGAAATTGTATTATGATGCTGTGGTGTTAACATTAATTAGTGATTGGGTTAACTTAACGAATGTAGATGTACTCCTCCTGGAGGGATGGGATTTACTTTTTGGATGGCATGCCTATTTAATTTTTAATAAGAAGGTTGACAGGGTTTTTAAGTCTCATATTTTAAGAACTTCCTTACTTTGGGTTTGGAAGAAATATTATAGAAGTGATTCAAGAATCCCATTATGGGCTATTCCATGGCATGCGATAGAAGGGATAAGGAGAGGAGTTAAGATGGATAATATTTCTTATATACAATTACTTAGATGGGATGGTAAAAATTGGCACTTAAAATCCATGGAAGATTTAACACAAGAAAATATTATTTTTTCATGGTTTCAGTATAGACAATTATTGGAAAGGTGGAAGATAGATTGTAAGGTGGGTTTGCTTAGAGAGGATGAGAATTTGTTAAAATAAATAAAAGATCAAAGACGAACCCATATCAAAAGAATTTATGGGGTGTTAGTGGAAC